CGCGACCAAGGGCTGCACCTAGGGATTGGGCCTGCCCTCTGCCACCCGGGAGCAGGCCTAAGCCAGCAGGTCGTTATCTCCCGAGTCCCAGACTGCGAGAGGGCACAGGCCGGGCTGAGGGACCCCCCTCCCCCACAAGTGCACAAATTTTTGTGCACCGGGCCTCTAGTATTATAATATAATATAATCAGAAAGAGCAGAAGGAATTTCTGAACTTTCCATCTATTAACCTAAATTGGGGCAAAGTGATCTAGCAAAGAGTGTGCTATATAGTGACCAAGCATTGTGATTTTAAAAACTCAGACCTGTCCTAGCCATGAATTATGGGAATTTTTTTAAAATTTCCAAACTTTGGCATTCCATATATATCTTTCAGATTATTCTTGTACCCAGAATTGGCAACAAAATCTGGAAAAATCATGTATTCAATTTTTGGGGGGGATGGGGTGAGGAAGAGAATAGTCAAGGTATGAGCTGTTGAATCCCTGAAGATAATCTTATAGATTATTTTGATTCAGAAGAGTATATACCCATCATTTAGAAGAACACAGGAGGTCATAGGAGAGTAAGGTTAGTCAATGTCCTGTTGTCAAAAATCTTGGCCTCCATTTTACAACCTTTTATGGAAGGCAGGTCTTTCTTCTTATCTCTTCCCTACTGCTATTTCTACAGACTTGTGGGGAAGTTTTCAACCTCTGGCCTTTTTCTTCAACCTTCTTTCACTTCTCTAGATTCAAATAATCTCTACAAGCACCCCCTCACCTTGGAGGACCTGATCTGCTATAGCTTCCAAGTGGCCAAGGGCATGGAGTTCCTTGCTTCCAGAAAAGTGAGTGTTTATTCTTCCATTTTTTTTCATTTTTACTATTTATGGAGGTATATTTCCATGATACCAGTAACCATAATAACTTTTTAAATAGTCCACTCTTATGCTTGTTTGTCTTCCTTTTTTGAATTGTTATTTGATTAATTCATATATGTTCACCCTACAGACAGCTACTCATCTGCCTACCTACAGTTGTTAGGGACTTACTTTTCAAACTCCAATCTGAGAGATGGCTGGAATATTTCATTCCAGTAGTGCAGGTTACTATATATTGAAATAAACATTTTCACCAAATATCTGTTGATTGCTTATTATGTTATCTATGCTAAGATACAGCTGGAGATACAGACATTAAAGATACTAATTCTTTTTCCTAAGAATCCACTTATGTAGACAGATACTATATATAACAAAATAGGTTGGCTCTTATGAGAGAAGTATGAAATAAGTGCTTTGTGACAATATGGAAGGAAGTCTAGATAATTTATTGTTTTCTCAGAGGACTTTGTATTTAAGCAATATCATGATGACTTGAACACAAGGGAATTTTCTATAGTTCTCAAGACTAGAGCATAGGATGCATGGAGGTGTGGGGATGAGAAACTGTAGCTAAACAGAGAGCTTGACATTGATTATGTAAAGCTTTAAACATCATACAAAGAAATGTGAACTTTGATGGTTTCCAATCACCACAAAATAATAGTTTTTAAGTAGGAGCACACTCAGGTTTGTGTATAAGGAATTGGACTTTGGGACTAGAGTGGACTATTGAGTAGTTCATGGGGCTAGACTGGAGGCACAGGTAACAGTTAGATCACCATTGCAATGGTCCAAATGAGGGAAAGAAAAGGTCTCTGTGACCCATGTTACTAGCAGTAGAATGCATTGGAAAGAATAGATTTATGTTCCAGGGTTCAAAGGACAAAACATATTAGTGGTAGCCAAATGGGAGAAACCATTCCATGTAATGGAGATTCTGCCCACCCAGCCAAATTTCAGAACAGACCAACTCATCAGTCTCTCAGCAAATTTTAGCTTAATCACATTTTCTCAGGCTGAGCACTTCTAAGACACTTTCCTGTTCTGAATTTTCATGCCTTTCTCCTCCACACGCAGTACTCAGCATTTCTCCTTGCTGAGAATCAGTAAACCTGCACCATCCTAGGGCCTAGCAATTATCTGAGCCACATTTGTCTCTTTTCTTTAGTGCATTCATCGGGACTTGGCTGCTCGGAACATCCTTCTGGCTGATAATAACATTGTGAAGATCTGTGACTTTGGTTTGGCCAGAGACATCTACAAAGACCCCGACTATGTCTGGAAAGGAGATGTAAGTGCAAGGTCCACTGGCACAATGCCCTAGGCTCAGGCTCTTGGGCTCTGTTGGTGTTGTGGATGTTATTTTCATGGCTCTCTCCCATTTTGGTTTTCTAGGCAAGACTCCCCCTTAAGTGGATGGCACCTGAAGCCATTTTTGACAAGGTTTATACTACTCAGAGTGATGTGTGGTCATTTGGTGTCTTGCTGTGGGAAATATTCTCTCTGGGTAAGTGTATCTCTTTATGGCCACTCCCTCACCATTCCAAGTCAACACTGACTATAAGATCAGAACTTAAAAGACCTTAGTCTGTGGATACAATGGAATCAGATAGAAAACCATTGTGACCAAGAACCAACAAAAACTGTCTCATTCTTTTACTGATTGATCAAATTTACTGAACAAATATTTATTGAGGACCTATTATGTGCCAGGCATTCTAAGTGCTGAGGATTCAGTGGTAAACAAAACAGATGGTAATCCCTGCCACCATGGAGCTTGCATTCTAGTCAGAATAGACTGACCATAAACAATCCTATCTAATAAAAGAGAAACATGGTAATTGGCGTACAACCGCTACCCTTCCCATTGGCTAATCAGGGAAATATGCAAATTAACTGCCAGCCAAGATGGCCGCCGGCAGCCAGGCAGCTTAAACTGAACATGAGGCTTGCTTGCTTCAGTGATGGAGGAAACCAACATTCCCCGCCTGCCTTGCCGGCCTCTGAGCCTGCAGTTTGAAACATAGTTACAAATATAGACACTAAATAAAATCCCAGGAACCTGCTTTCAGTGAGCCCGGGATCTCAGAGCTGGAGTTGATACAGAGTTTTGATTATAGAACCGAAACAAACCAGATACCTTCTTTCAGCAGCAGAGGCCTAAGAGCTGGAGCCTCAGAGCTAAAGCTGGCCCAGAATAAAAAAAAAATAAAAAAATAAAAAAAGGAGCGGTTGGGAGCTTCCGTCACCCGCAAGCCTGAAAACAGCCCTCAGCCCCTCACCCAGACTGGCCAGGCACCCCAATGGGGACCCCCACCCTGAAGGGTGTGTGACCAGCTGCAAACAGCCATCATGCCCTCACCCAGGCTGGCCAGGCACCCCAGTGGGTACCCCCCCCCTGATCCAGGACACCCTTCAGGGCAAACCAGCCAGCCCCACCCATGCCCCAGGCCTCTATCCTATATAGTAAAAGGGTAATATGCCTCCCAGCACCGCGATCAGCAGAACTGCGAAGCCTCCCGGCACTGGGATCAGTGTGACAGGGGGCAGCGCCCAAACCCCCTGATCGCCCTGCAGCTCTGTGTGTGACAGGGGGTGGTGCCGCAACCTCCCCATCGACCCTGCCTTGAGTGTGACAGGGGGCGGGGCCCCAACCCCCCCCCCGATCGTCCCTACCCTGAGTGTGACTTAGGGGGGCATCACAACCTCCTGATCCGCCCTGCTCTGTGCATGACAGGGGGCGGCGCCCCAACTCCCCAATCAGCCCTTCTCTGAGCCCAACCAGGGGCTGCACCTACGGATTGGAACTGCCCTCTGCCCCCCGGGAGTGGGCCTAAGCCAGCAGGTCGTTATCTCCTGAGGGGTCCCAGATTGCGAGAGGGCACAGGCTGGGCGGAGGGACCCCCTCCCCCCCCCGAGGGCACAAATTTTTGTGCACCGAGCCTCTAGTTAATAAATAATATATGGACTTTTTTTAAGTTTACAAAAACTTTAATAATACAAATTATCCAGATTGCAGATTATCAAAAGATCATCTCAATAAAGTCCACATTAAAAAAAGGACAAAGCATAAAATAACCCAAAAACAATGAAAAGAGGAAAACAACATAAAGGAGATTCATCAACAAATCTCTGAAACTTAAAACTGGAGATAGATGGAAATAAGACGTTTATATAATGCACTCATCCACTTTTGCCTTATCTGTTCTGGGGCTTGATTTTTGATCACATTTCTTATCTTTATCATGTACCTGGCCATTTTCTTGACCCTTGAATTTTTGGTTTTCTTTTTCAACTGAGAATCTGGTCTCCTCATCCTCCTTATTTTTTAATGTGGGTAACTTCAATTCATTTTCCTGACTACTTTGTTTTCTTTTTGAGAATGGACTTTGATCTCCATCAGCCTTTTTATCCCTGTTATTATTTTAATTATTATGATCAGGATTTTTAGAGCACATTCTCTTCTCACCTTCAGAATTTTCTGTGTGAACTCTTACTTTCTTTTTTACTTATTGATTAAGGTATTACATATGTGTCCTTATCCCCACATTGCACCCCACAGCCCCACTGATGCCCTCAACCCCCTGGTGTCTGTGTCCATTGCTTAGGCTTATATGCATGCATACAATTCCTTTGGTTGATCTCTCCCCTTACCCCCACCTTCCCCTACCTTCCCTCTGAGGTTTGACGGTCTGATCAATGCTTCCCTGTCTCTGTATCTGTTTTTGTTCATCAGTTTATGTTGTTCATTATATTCTACAAAGGAGTGAGATCATGTGATATTTATCTTTCTCCGACTAGCTTATTTCACTTAGCATAATTATGCTAGTTAAGGCAGCATGAAGAAAACTTAGAAGAGAGTTAGGGAGTGTTGGGATGGAGCAGAATATGGATTAAATTTTAAATTGGGTGGTTAAAGAGGGCCTTACAGAAAGTGAAATGCTTCAGTAAAGACCTGAAGAGTGAATAAACGAGCCACATACCTATCTGGGAGAAGAAAATTTTAGGCAAGGGAAATAGCAAATGGAGTGTGCCCAGTAAGTTTGAGGATCAGGCAGGAGACCACTGTGGCTAGAGTGGAGGAGTAAGAGTAGCTGGAGGGGAGGTTAGGGGGGGAGGTGAAAGAGGTAAATACATCAGACAGGGCTTTGTTGGCACAGAGAGATTAACTTTTTAAAAAATTTACTGTTGGCACTATTACAGATGTCTTCCTCCCATCCTTTGCCCACCTCTCCTTTTAAAAGACTTTTTAAAGAGCCAGAATTTGATCCCAGTCTATCTGATTCCCAAACGCCACTTTTAACCACCATGCATACTGCCAAGCTTACTCAAGCCATATGTGGTGTTAGTGTTTCAAAATCCTGTGGAGCCCTGAAGAATGTTGCACAGCAAAACTTGAAACCACTCCTCCAGACTCCCAGTCCCACATTCCTGATACTTGGAATAAAACCTTCAAAGATTTTAGGAAGCCTAGAGATGATGTGATACAGGCTTTTTAAAAAGAAAACAATGCTCTGACATGTATTAGTCTGCATCCCACATCATGACCCTGAATCAAAGGCCTGTCTGTGGTGCCAAGGGATTTTTTAAAAAATATGTTTTTATTGATTTCAGAAAGGAAGGGAGAAGTAGAGAGAGATAGAAACATCAATGATGAAAGAGAATTGTTGATTAGCTGTCTCGCTTGCAACCTTGGCATGTACCCAGACCAGGAATCGAACTGTGACCTCCTGGTTCATAGGTCGACACTCAATCACTAAGCCACACTGGCCAGCCCCGAGGGATTTTTATTAAAATCATCCAGGCAGGCCTGTTTGGGAGCCAGGTGTACCTAACTCTGATGATAAATATTTTCTTAAGTATCTATGTCACAATATAGATGAGGATTCAAATGTTTATAGATCACTGAGATTTAAAGTGATTGGAAGATATTTGTCTTGTCCACAGAGGCTGCTTTTGCCTTCATCTAGAATGTCTGATCTCTCTGTCTAGTCTCTGAGATGAAAAGTATAAAAGAGGTGGAGAAAGAAAAGATGTTTGAGCAAAGGGGAAACAAAACAATTTGGTTTTTACCCAAGTAACATGTGGAAGCAAAAGCTGAAACAGTAAATTAGGACAGTGACAATAAGAAATATTGATATACCAAACAACTTGAATTTCAGAATAGGCTTCTCCATACTGGATCTTTGCTCAGAAAGGAACACCTTCCCACGACCCATCCTACACACATAGCCTTTTGAGAATAGGCTTCATTGGGAAGAAGTAAGATATTTGCTAGCACTGCTTTCTCCAGCACTTCCGGGGGTTGAGAAGCACTGACCCCATGCTATCCAGTGTGCTCAGGAAAGCAAAGCAACATTTTGAGTCAGATGAATGTTAAGCTGTTCTTTTAACGTTTTTTGATGGAAATGTCTTGGATTACACAATTCTTTGCCTCAGTAAACTCTTTCAATCTGCTATTGCTCCTACTGCCATCCCCTCTGATACTCCTCTATTTTTTCTTATCTTTTTCTTTCACCTTTCTCTAATCTGTCAAATTAACTTCTAGCAGGATCTGAATTCCATAACCCTTGATACCCATATCCACTGATCATATTATGTCTTCGGTAACACCACGACTTTTGTTTTTCTTGGTTATTTTTCTGGTAGCTGGAGTTCATAGGTTTTCATGACTATTTCCATGAACAGATCCTGTTTCTATAAGTTGAGCTAGTTAAAGCTCAGATAAGAAGATAAACAGAATGTTATGAAATATCATCTCACTATTAAATCATAACACATGGAAGAAAAGAATACTTTTTATTTAAGAAGTTTAGCATTTGTAGAAAGTACATAATGAATAGATTAAAATGCTCCATAATTGCAAAGTATTGAACCAATTAAAGAGATTATTATTATTTCATTTAATTGTTGCAACTTCCTGTGAGCTAGAATAGACATTATTATCCACAAATTGTAGATGAGGAAGCTGAGCTTCAAAGAAGTACTGATATACCTGGAGGCCACACAAAAACTAGTAGGCTCAGTTGGGATTCAAACTCTAAATGTGATATTAGATTCAACGTCCTTTCTTTTTTTAAAAAAAATATATTTTATTGGCTTTTTTACAGAGAGTAAGGGAGAGAGATAGAGTTAGAAACATCAATGAGAGATAAACATCGATCAGATGCTTCCTGCACACTCCCTACAGGGGATGTGCCTGCAACCAAGGTACATGCCCTTGACCGGAATCAAACCTGGGACCCCTGACTCAG